CCATCCGCTGGCCCCAACCTGCACGGGGCCACGCGGGGCGGACGCGGAGGTGCCCAAACGCCACCCTTCTCCCTCTCTCTCTGCCCAGGGCAGCTCCGGTGAGGTGCTCCGGCCGACCCTCGGCCGTCTGTGTGTCCTTCGGCCCTGGGGCAGGCTGGAAGACTTGTGATTGTGTTGTTTCCAACATCAAGGGGAGCAAACAACAAATCCCAGTCTCCGCCCTGCCCCGGGCACAGACATCGGCTCCAGTGCAGCCGACCCCACAAACCGGGAACGCTGCGCCCATGTGCAAACCCCGGTGAAAGGTGGCCAGGACCGGGCGGGCAGCTGCAGGGAAGGAGGTATCAACTCACTCGAGAAATTAAAAATAAACCGAGTCAGAGCAACGTGAACGCGGACCTGACGGTGACACGGTCACGTCCTGCTGGCAGCCAGCCCAGTGTGCTGGCGCCGGCCCAGCCGCTCTCGAAATCATGGTTTATCCACCCTGAAATGCTGCAGGATTGAGCAGAAAGGCCGAGGAGCATCACGCAGCCTCCTCTACCTCTCACCCTTCCTTACGGCTCCCGCGGCCGAGCAAAGAATCACAGAACTGTCGAGGTTAGAAGGGCCCTTCAAGATCATCGAGTCCAACCATCAACCCAACACCGCCAAACCCACCACTAACCCATGTCCCTCAGCACCGCGTCTGCCCAAAGATGCTGCAGCAGTTCAGTACACACACGATCTATATTTTTTTCCAAGCTATCCCACTCCAGGAGCCCCCAACCCCAGGAGATTTCCCTACTGTCCCCCCCTCCTCGCAGCACAGGCAGAAGTTATGAGCTTTACCCGAGTCCATGTCAGCTCGCACCCCCATAATCAGGGCTGCGGCCACGGGACACATCGTGACCAGGGACCTTAGTAATCGAAACCAGTTTCACGAAAGAATTTTACATGTCGGTTTCCTGCCCTATCTCCCTCCTCCGCATATAAGAGGTTTGATTTCCAAGTTGGGAACGTTACATTCAGTTATCGGGGGAAACGGCTGCGGTTCTCCTCGGGGAAGGGGGTGGTTGGGGGGGGGAAGGAATGAAGTGAAAATAAGTCCTGGACAGCAGAAATCTCTCCCAATCAATCAGTCAGATTCACCGCTACCTGCTGAGGAAATTGCTCCTTCCATGACGTTTTAAAAGGAATTAATTCTATTTATCGGAGAAAAATGAGAGGAAACAGTCAGCAAGGACCACCTTGGGGCAATTCCTCGGGGAGGGAGAGAGACGACAGCGCGAGAGTGCGGCCGTTCCTTCGAACGAGGGCTTTTGCCCTGCACATCACCCAGGATCAGGAAAATCTCTCAGGTGGGGATTAATGTTTCACTAAACAGTTCCCTTCTCCCCGCTCTGCAAAACCGCCTTTTCCTCCCCAGCCCGGGCCAGCCAAAGGTGAGCGGGCACTGGGCCTGCGGCGAGCAGAGCTGGAGGGGCCGCATCCATCCCGGCTCCTGCAAGCACAGCCCCGCTGCATCCCGTCCCACCCCACGGTCCCTTCCTCCTGCCACCAGCCCTTCTCCCCGCTCCGTCCCCCTGTTTGGAGAAGCGGGAACACCGCTGGTCCCACAGCCCTGCCCAGCTCTGTCCTGTTCCCAGAGCGCTGAGCTCAGCACTTCATCCCAGCGCACGGGACCGGTGCTGTGTAACATCTTTATCTGCAACACGACATGGACAGCGGGATGGAGGGCACCCTCAGCAAGTTTGGTGACAACACCAAGCTGCACAGGGCAGTGACACACCTGAGGGAGGGGATACCATCCAGGGGGACCTGGACAGGCTGGAGGGCTGGACCTGTGTGAACCTCACGGGGTTCAACACGGCCAAACGCGGGGTCCTGCACCCGGGTGGGGGCGACCCCCGGTCCCAGCGCAGGCTGGGGATGGAGGGACTAAGGTCAAACACCACTGCTGTCCATTGAACTGCCTTGAAGGCTTTCACCCCTGCTGAAACCACAAGAAATTCAGGTTAGGTTCAAGCACAAGTAACCAAATACCCATTGCAACCTCAGAGAGGGGAGCCTGCTCTCAGACAGCATAACAAGCATTTTGCTGAATCGCTTTTCGGCAATGGGTGCTTTGCGAAGGGGAGGAAGCAGCAGGTCTCAACACCTCCAAGCTTCCTGATACAGGCTCCCTGATGCAAGATACCCAGGAGAAGGCAGGGAACTTCTTCAGAAGACTCCAGGGAGACCTTATAGAAGCCTTCCAGTATCTGAACGGGGCCTACAAGAAAGCTTGGAGATGGACTTTTACAAGGGCATGTAGTGATAGGACGAGGGGTAATGGCTTCAAATTGGAAGAGGGGAGATTTAGGTTAGGTATCAGGAAGAAAATTTTCACTGTGAGGGTGATGAGCCCCTGGCACAGGTTGCCCAGAGAAGCTGTGGCTGCCCCATCCCTGGAGGTGTTCAAGGCCAGGTTGGACGGGGCTTGGAGCAACCGGGGCTGGGGGGAAGTGTCCCTGCCCAGGGCAGGGGATAGGAATGAAATGATCTTCAAGGTCCCTTCCAACCCAAACTGTTCTATGGTTCTACAAAAGCCCCTCCGGCGCAGCAAGGAGGAGAGTGGGGAGGGTGGCAGCTTTGCCAAGTTGCCCGGGGGAAGGTGGAGAGCTGGCAGATGAACATCAGATGCAAACAGAGGCTGCAAGCTGAGATAGCGAGCTGCCCTGTTATCTTTATTTTAGCACCTTGGCTGGTGGGCTGGCAGCAGGTGAGGAATGATCTCAAACTGACATAAGAGTGGATGCTGCGATGTGCAGAGACAGGAGAAATATGTTTTCCTGCTTAAACGACAGCGAGACATGCTGTAGGTGACCCTGCTCTGGCAGGGGGGTTGGACTAGATGATCTCCAGAGGTCCCTTCCAACCCTGGCCATTCTGTGTGATTCTGTGAGACACTGAGTGGCCTGTAAAGACTCCGCACTTCCCCCTCCTCGCTTCTCCCCCAGCCAGATGCACTGGAGAGTGGCTTCCCCACACGTGCCACTGTCCAGAGCCCCCCCTGGAAAAGCAGGGACCTCAGCTTAAGAAAAAAAAATATCCTCAGAAGAACTTGCACAAGCAGCACATTAATTCTGCTCCGTAACTGCCAGCAGTCTGCCCACACCGCCAGCGGGATCCCTCCACCACACAGGTATTTCCAGCCAGCTCTGCTCGCAGTCAGCCTCTGCGCAGCTCCGCTCCTGCCTCACCCCAGCGATGCTGAAGCATCACCCACTCTGCGCCATCTCCCCGGTCCAAGGCGGGACAGCAACAGCAGCCACAGCCTTGCAAGGAGCACTCCCTCTCAGCAGGCTCGTTGCTTTGGACCCCCTCTGCCCCTTCAAGTTCCTCCTGCGTCAGAAGCAGAGGGACAGGGCAGACGCTTCTGTCCTGCCAGTGAGCAGCACACCCGCTCCCCTCCCACGCACGCCCATCCTCGCGTTGGTGTAATTTACACCACATCAGCACATCTTGCTAACTCGGAGGAGGGAGCTGGAAGGACTGCGGCTCGCCAGAAACAACAGGGTTTGGGACCAGTTTTGCTTTTGAAAGAGGTTCAAACGCAGATCACAACCTTATGGCAGAGACAGGGGTACAGCTCCACACCCCAGCAGCACCAGCCGCCTTCTCTGCTCCTTCTCGCATACCTGGTTACCCCATCCTCCCACGGCGCACTCTGCAAGAGCTGGCTTGCATGGGGACAGAGCCTTTGCAGAGATAAACACACCTCAGCGCAGGAAAAGGACATCCGCCAAACCCAAGAGATCACGAAGGACCACACAAGCCTTTTTATAAGCCCATTTTTAGGTGCAAAGGGGCCGACAAGAAACATTAGGACAGGGCTCTGAGCCTGCCAGCGCAATTTGGAACCCCAGTACCCATCGCCACGCAACTCTGCAAATTCTTTCTACGTTTGAGGAGAGGTTGCAAAAAGAAATCCACATGTATGCGCGCAGCCTCCAAGAGCAGAGATGAACGCTGGGCTTTCTGAATCCTCATCTCAAACCCCCCCGGTCTTGTCGTGATGCACACGCACAGAGGCAGGCACGCACTCCCGTGTTTTCTCAAGCAACCACTGCTCCACCTACGCTCTCCGACAACACAGGCCATTATTGATAGATCCCATCTCCAAGGCAGAAGCGAGCTGGCTGCAGCAGGTTTTACAGGTATACAAGAAAGCAGCGCTGGGATTCCTCCCATCCCCTCTCGCTGCCCAATCCTCCCCTACCAAAAAAACCCCAACCAACCTTAAAAACCAAAACAAATACTTAACACCCAGCTACCAGCAAGCACTGTGCTTCCTACAGAAAAGCAGAAGTAAAATCCACTGTGCACAGAGCTGCTCAGGGCTCTCCGGGCATCGGCAGCATCCAGCTGCGAGCAAACACCTCTGGGGTCCACAGAACCCGCTGGCTTCTCGTACACTGCACACCAGGTCATCCAAATACAGCAGAACCACCAACCCGCTGTTAGTTTGTCCTACACGTACCCGAGAGTCCCTAATTCAAAGGAAGTTTCCAAACGGGCATGGTTAGGGCCAGCCAGATTTTGGGCAAACCTTCAGCAGAATTCCTGAAGTACTTAAGTGTCAAGAAGGTTTCCTGCCACAAGAGGGACGCGAGCCCAGCCAGGCGGGGAATGACACCCCACGCTATCTGCGAGAGGTAAGCACGGGGGACGGGGCAGATTAATCACAAGTAAGGAGGGGAACTCAATCAGCTTAAATGTGGCAATCAAGGAAGATACATGGAGTGCAGGGAGACAGATGGTTGTGCGCATTTATTTTTCTTTGATAAAAATGGTATGCAAATTACACAGCCATGGAGGCTCTTGGGAAAATATCACCCTGCTGGTCCTTGGGGAGTTTCTTGGAGTCATAACATTCAAACACACCAAAATGGAGGGGGGAGGGAATGGAAGATGGATCTAAACTGGGAATAACATGAACTTCAACATTTTCCAGTGAAGCAAAAAGATTGTTAACTTATTTTTTTTCAAATTTCCTTTTTTGTTTTCACACTTTCAGGAATGAGCCTACTGAGCACAAGAGTCACCAAATCCCTGACACCACTGCGCAAGAACTCAATTGCTGGGGCAGAAACACACCTTTCAAACACGTTCTTCTGCACGGCACTTTCAACCTCAAGTTCAAGAACAGCAAGCCTGATCCCCGAAGGCATCGAGGCTCCTTTACACCATCCCAAGAGTGTAAAGAGGCCATACTTCAAATGTCTTTTTCATGCACATTAGCCCTCTACCAGGAGATCAGAGGCGCCTGCACACAAGGGACACAGGCTCAGTTCATCCAATGGAACATTAAGACAAATGACATCAGAAATTTCCAGGTCACTTCAATTTTTTTTTTTTTTTTCTTTTGATCCATTCCCAATAGGACGCTGGGAGAAATAACCAAAAACCAAACTTGGCTCAAGTTTTAAATATTTGCCTGAAAGGAGGGCTAGGGGAGGGAATCATGTACAGTTAAAATCAAGCTACTCAAAACACAATCATTCAGGTAAGTAACTAGAAGTATCGCCTCTACCATCTAGAGAGAGAGAGAAGAGTGTCTGAGACAGAGGGCATATTTAGGAAAAAATACACATCTGAAGTCTCTGTGGCCACGATGAGAACTGGAATCCACATACAAGCCAGTTAAAGAGCATTTCAACATGAAATCTTAACTTAGTAGGAAGGTCAGGGGTTAAGCTGTATCTTTTTTTGTTTTAAATACATGGACAGCTGTCAGATATGAAAATGACGGTGGGCTTTCCTGAAAGATCCCCCTGGTGCATGTGTATGGATGCATGTGCTGACATCTGCGGGGCAGCATGACAAGAGTTTAGGAAGGCTGGGAGCCCAGCAGTCTCTCAA